TTTTCTTGGAGTACAGTGAAAAAACGGTTCCAGTGGAAGAAGACCACATTGCTGACGTCATTAGTCTTGCCACCGACGAGATTGCCGGCAGCGGTAAGGGCATTTCCAACACTCCCCTGACTTTGGTGGTGAAGAAAAACGGTGTGCCGGATCTTACGATGGTGGATCTTCCCGGAATCACCCGAGTCCCTGTTCACGGCCAGCCGGAGAACATTTACGAGCAGGTAACTGAGATGATTATGGGGTATATAAAGCCGGAAGAGAGCATAATCCTGAATGTTCTCTCAGCAACAGTTGATTTTTCTACCTGTGAATCCATCAGGATGTCGCAGCAGGTGGACAGGAATGGCCAGAGGACTCTGGCCGTCGTGACAAAGGCAGATAAGTCACCGGAAGGGCTACGCGAGAAGGTCAGTTCCAATGATGTTAATATTGGGCTTGGTTATGTCTGTGTGAGAAACAGGGTCGGTGATGAATCTTTTGAAGAAGCAAGGGGGGAAGAAGAAAATTTGTTCGAAACCCACCCTCTGCTTTCGAAGATGGACAAATCCATCGTCGGAATTCCGGTTTTGGCAGAAAAGCTCGTTCAAGTTCAGGCAAATATCATTTCAAAATGCCTACCCAAGATTGTGATGAACATCAATGAAAAGCTGAGTGCAAATGTGATGGAGCTGGAGAAGATGCCGAAGATTCTGTCCTCCCACGCGGAAGCTATGACGACTTTCATGCAGATCATCGGATCGGCGAAAGAATCTCTGAGGAAAATTCTGTTGAGAGGGGAATTTGATGAATACCCAGATGACAAGGAAATGCATGGAAGTGCCCGATTGGTGGAAATGCTCGACAAATTCTCCAACGAGCTTCATAAGAGCGTTGAAAATGAACAAACAGGTGACTTTTTGATTGAAGAAATTAAGGTTCTTGAGGAAGCCAAAGGGATTGAATTGCCCAATTTCCTCTCTCACTCAGCTTTCCTCCGCATTCTTCAGAGGAAAGTCGATAGGATTTCAAGCATGCCTACTGACTGCGTTGAACAGACATGGGGCTACATTGAAAGGGTTGTGATTGCTATTTTGAAGCGTCATTCGGAAGACTATCCACAGCTTAAGCTTGCAACAACAAGAGCAGCTAAAAGCTTGATATCTAAAATGAAAGAACAGTCAATGAATCGGGTTATGGAGATTGTGCAAATGGAGAGGCTGACAGATTATACATGTAACCCTGATTACTTGTCTGAATGGAGCAAGCTCTTATCCCAACAGCAGAAGTTCATGGGAGATCTTACAAGTTTTAATGGTTATAATTATAATTATAATTCGACAACCATTGAAGGTTGGGGGACAATTCAGATCGAGCATCTAAGGGGGAAATCGGATACTATTCTTCAGCAAGCTTTTGACTTGAAGACGAGGATGAAAGCATATTGGAAGATAGTTCTGAGGAGGTTGGTGGACACCATGGCTCTCCTTTTGAAATTTAATGTGCACAATCTGGTGACTAAGGAGATGGAGAAGGAAATTTTCATGGAGCTGCTGGGTGCGGATGGTGGAAAATCTATTGAGAGGATTCTGGAGGAGTCGCCCGGTATTGCTGGGAAAAGAGAGAGGCTGAAGAGTAGTATTGGTATGTTGAGGGAGTCCAAGGAGGTTGTGGCTCAAATGATGGACAAAATTGCTTCCTATGGTGACTAAGGTCATTCAATTAGTCTGGGGCATCAAATGGTGGTTTGTTTTCTTTTTGTTAATTTTGAACCTTCTGTGTGCTACATATGTGGGTTTTTTTTTTTTTTTTTTTTTTTTTA